CTTTGATAGGTCATTATGAAATTTTAGAATACTAAATGAATGTGAAAAAAAGAAACTCTAAAAAACTCTAGAAATAAACAGGAACAGGTCACCTATAAGTGAATAAAAATCAGATTATCAGAAGATTTCTTATCAGGAACTTGGATAACTGAAGATGATGGAGCAATGCATCCAAAAATTCTGAGGGAGAATGATTTCCAACCTAGCATTCTCTACTTAGCCAGTCAAGACAGAGTGTAGAAGACATTTTCAGGCATGCAAGAAATCATTTTACTTCAGTCTCATAACTTCCTAGGAAGTTATTTAAGTATGTTGCCACCTGGAAACAAGGAGAAGACAATGGGGCCCAGGAGAGGGGCCCACCCAGAATAGTGAAGGGAGATCCCTAGATGACAGGTGTGCCAAAGCCATAGTCAGTCCTCAGAAGAGCTAAAAACAAGGTTTCAGAAGGACCACTCAAGGAAAAGATGAAATGCCAGAGATTTGATATACTCCTTGAAAATTTGGAACAATTCTGACAAAGACAGAAAATGCAAAGAAAGGCAATTGGAAACACTGGGAAAAAATTAAAACTGCAAGAAATAAAATCTAATTATGGTACACAGTCATAGGAGTATAAACACTGATTGTTGAATTAACTGAAAACAATGATGATATATGTACATTCGGAGAAGGAAGAAGAGATGGGTGTGGTATAAGATAATTAAATATTTAATAAGATAATTAAATATTCACCTGTGGGTGGCTACTATCCAGCTCTGATAAATTGCAGGAGATACATATATATAAACCATATGTATACGTTATTAGTGGGGTCTTAGCCAATAGAAAAAGCTAAAAGAATTCCACGTGATCATCTTTGGGAAGTGGAACAGTGGAGTGTATAGAAAGCTGGAATGGAGTTTTTCTTGCTTTGTATTATAATCTCTTACATGTGTTACTTAATTTTTAAAATATGGTTACACATTTTTTTAATATTTTAAGGCAAATAATTTAATATGACATGTGTACTCCCCCTTCATGCCATAATTGTTCAAATGAATCCATTTGTTCAATGAATCATGTTTAACATACTCAAGAGAACTATAAAATAAAGAACCTTTAAGAAAGTGGTTCACAGTAGTTCTCAAACTTAAGCATTCATCAGAGTCATCTGGAGGGCTAGTTAAAACCTAGACTGCTGGGCTCCACCCCAGTGTTACTGATTCAGCGAATCTGAGGTGTACACTAAAGGTTTGCATTTCCAACAAGTTGATGCTGAAGCTGCTGATCCAGGGACCACACTTTGAGAACCACTGTTTTAAAGGAAAAAACCTCCCATTTATATTTTCTATTAAACTGAATCACTGAGTTTGCTTCACATACATAATTAGATCACATCTTTGCATTCAAGCCGGGTATTGTGAACTGGTAACCTTAGCAAGGATGCACTGGTAGCTTCAGTTGGCTGGTGATTTTTTGAGTTTATATCTTCCTCAACCCTCAGAGTATGAGGAGTAGAGAAGCTGATAACAGATTCTCTTTAACATATAGCACCTGCCTCTTAATCTTTTAGATGGGGACCTCTTCCCAACGACAAACAGGAAAGGCTATGTGACCCAGCCGGGCCAATCCAACACTCCCTATTCCCCCATCACAGAGGTTGGTTGTGTCCTGATCCCATGCCCAAAGCTGGGCCAATCAGAATACTTCCTAGGACATTTCCACTTGATCCATCCAAAAATTGCCTGTTCTGGCTCTGGCACTGGTGCTGTGAAGTTGACAAGCTTGGGTGTTACTATCTTGCTTGCCACATGGAGAAAAGTATCCAAGAAAAGTAGAGAAACAGTACTGATAACATTGTAACTCCCAGAGTCAGTGGATTCTGAACTGGCCTGATACAAATGAAATGGACTTTTCCAGCATGGTATAAAAACATATTCTTTCATATTTGAAGTACTATGGATTCTCAGATTGGAAACCAAAGTGAATGAAAAATGGCAATACGGATGTGAGCAGATGAAAACTTATGTAACTATGGAAGCATGGAGACGTAATATAGTTCATATTCAGGTGGATGCATGTCTCCCAGTTTGCACTAGTTGGGACCATTCCTTCCCCACCTCCTCTGTGCTGGTTCCTACCTCCTCACAACTTGAGAGAAGCTCCCTTCCAGGAATATGCAGGCATAGGAAAAGAACCCAGGCTGCCTCTGATCATCTTCAAAGGAAACCATTCATTTGAAACAAATCAGGCAGCATGTTGGCCATATGCAATGTGTCTAGAAAAATACTGCTCTAATCAGCAGCAGCATTGGTTCATCACAAACATTTCCAAAAGTGACCTAACCCTTGAAACAGAATTTCTATCTCCACATTTTACATAATATATATTAATTGAATGCTTTCATAATCTCACTTAATACAGACTAAAATTCAGTAGGGGCGTCTGGGTGGCTTAGTCGGTTAAGCATCCGACTTTCGCTTAGGTCATGATCTCACGGTCGGCGGGTTCGAGCCCCGTGTCGGGCTCTGTGCTGACTGCCAGCTCAGAGCCTGGAGCCTGTTTCAGAGTCTGTGACTCCCTCTCTCTCTGACCCTCCCCTGCTCACGCTGTCTCTCTCTCTCTCTCTTTCTCCTAGAAATTTAAAAAAAAAAAAAAGAAACATTAAAAAAATAAAATAATAAAATAAAATTCAGTAAGGTGCATAATTTCACCATTTTACAGATGATGAAATGGAGATTCAGAGAATTAAGTAACTTTTTTTCCTGTGTCACAAGGCCAGTCATGGTGGAGCTAAGATTGAAATTGGATTCTCTTTGGACCAAGGGGGAGAAGAAGGGGGGAAATGGTGGGGGAAAGGGAGAGAGGCAAACCATGAGAGACTCTTGAATGCTGACAAAAACTGAGAACTGATGGATGTAGGGGGGAGGGGGGATAGGCATGGAGGAGGGCACTAGTGGGGATGAGCACTGGGTGTTATGTGGAAACTAATTTGACAAACTATTTGTAAAAAAAAATAATAATAATAAAAATAAAAATGAAAATTAAAAAAAAAAAGAAATTGGATTCTCTTTGATTCCCCAACCCAAGGGAGTAAGGAAGGCAGAGAAAGAGAAAGGAAGGGAGAAAATAGAGGGAGGTTGGGGGTAGGAGAGGAAAGAAAGAAGTCAAGATAACGAGAGATAGCGGAGTCTGAAAGAAGCCATCAACTTCTGAGTTCTAGGCCCTTCCAGATCTCTGTCTGAATACCCATCTCCAAGAGCTCCCAAAGGCCTTATAATAAACCCTTCTTTTCTCTTCAGCTAGTTTCAGTCCATTTGAGCTATTTACATCCCCAGAATATTAACCAGTACAATGGCCACTGCAATATGTGGCCAAAGGAATTCTGCTAGTAACACAACAGCCCCTGGTATGTAGCAAATGAAAGAATTTGTAGCATCAGTTTTTCCCACACCAACCCCTCCACCACATAACATAATTCACTCATTATTATTCTCCCATCCATCTTTAGACCCTGGGGTGAGTATGGCTTTACAGTGAGGAATCAGACCAAATTCTCTTCTGTTCTAAGTCACTTAAGGGACTCAGCCCACTTTACTGCCCCTGCCGCCAGCCTGGAATCTCATCTTGGATCCCTGAGAATGCAAACCCTACTGACAAAATCAATGCCCTAAGCCCTCAAGGCTAAGCACCAGAGTGCCACACCAGGAAACAGAAATCAGAGTCCCTCCCCAAGCAGCCTTAATGTCCACAGTAGCAAGGAGATGTTGATACAGCCAACCTTAAAGGTATGCAATTTTGCATGCATTTTGACTATCGAAACCCTGGTAATTGAATCACCTGCCATTTAACACTGCCACCTCCCCAAACCTCCTACCCCACCCCGTCCACCAAGGCACATCAATTCAACCCAACAAATCCTCTTTGTTCCAGATATTTGCTTTAGACACTGGAAACAAACAGAACAAAATAGTTTCTTAGGGAAAGGAGGCAAAATATAGTAATAAATCCTCAAGATTAGCCATCCATATCTCTGGGGAAAAAAACTTTTTTGTTATTGTTGTTGTGCCACATTTACCCGTCAGCCTTTGGGGAGTTTTTCCTCCCATCCCATAATTTAAACTATTTGGTCTTATTATAGCTAAGAACAGGGACCAGTCCAACATCCCTATCCAGTGAACTCTTCCAATAGTTCAAAGTATTTCTTTAAATAAAGGACTTCCCGGAGGGCTCATCTGAAATTATTTTGTGAACTGGATTAACACAAATGACACAGGGTCATGCTGGGCTTTAAAAACTAAGCTTAGAAGCTAGAGAAAGGCCACCCTCCCAACCAGTAGCTTATTCATTGCCTCTGGGCCCTGCACACCTTACCCACAAATGACCCAGAAGAGGAAGGGAAAACAAAGTATCCCCAAGCTAACCACTAAAAACAAAACTAGGTGCAGTTTCCAAACCAAACAACAGAAATGTGCAATGAAAGGAGACTAGCCATTATTTACCTTCTATCCTTAGAGGTTATATCAACAGATGTTGATATATTCCCCTTTTACATCAACAGATGTAAAACAGATGTAATCTATTTTCCCTTAGCTTTCTGGGGAAGAAGCAAGTCTCAGGCAGGGTTTTTGCTTATTTTGTAAAAATTTCAGCCAATCTTGTAAATTTGGCAAAGGCAACAGAAATTTGCACTGCCTAGAAAAAAAGATTCCCAGTTCCATCAGATGAGAACAACAGTGAACTAAGTCACCATGGTGTGAAGAGAGAGTGAATCTCATTTCATTTTGGTTAATTTGGAGTGAACTCAAGGCACAAGGGTGACTAATACAGTATAATTTTTTTAAAGAAAAGGCAGATATCCAATGTTAATTTGGATGATTTATTCAGCTTTCACGGTATTCTCCATCTCAGTGTGTGTGAAGCTCATTCTCAAATACTGTGTTCATATTATAAAACACATTTTCCCTTATCTGCATAGTTTTGTCCACTATCTCTGAAACTCCAGGCTGCACACTTACCTTCACGATCTTAGCACTGGAAACCAGGATCCAAATCTCAGGAAGGCCAGAGTCACTTGCTCTTTTGCTGTTAGGTGGCAAGAAGGACGCTCTGTGATTTCCAGACTGAACAGTATTTGGGGCATTGGAGATTGACTTGTGGGGCTCAGTGGCGGCCAGCCATGTGACCAGGGTGGGGGAAGGGACGCTCCTTCAGGGTAAGGGACTGGTGCCTGCTTAACTGACAGACCAGGGTCATGCAGGGTCTAAACAGAGCATAATCACAGGCGGACAATTTTGCTCTAAATTTCTTCTTGGATTTTAACTTTGTGATCCTCTTACTGCAGGGTTGTGTTTCAGCACTGGTTTTTAAATGCTTGTTTATCTCCCTACGTGATTTTTATACTAGGTCCTTTTCGGATTCTGTTTTGGGGGATGTTAGAGCTGGAAGAGACTTTACAGATGATCTAGCCACCCCCACCCCACCCCCACCCCTGCCCAGGGCCACCCATTTTACAGATGAGCGGCAGCACTTCTTGGAGCCTGTAGAAACCTGAGTTTGTATTACACACTGTGGGGACCCCAACTGACTGGCACCCAAGTTACAGCTTACTTGAATATTTTCAGCCTTTAGGTCATTAAAGCTTTGAGGACTGCTGAGATGCCTCTGATGAATCTTAATCACATTGCAGGTGCCTAAATCTGTAGCTGTCAGATTAGGGCACGACTAGAAACTATGACAGTTTATACTTGTGGTCAAAGAGTTTAAACATGTGTAGTTATGTTTATGTGTCTCTATCACAATCTTCTTAAAACACTACAAGATGATCCTTTTGGAGGGATCAGGGAACATCAAAAGCTGCAGAGATACTTAATCTCAAAGACCCTGAAGACATCTCAAAACCACAGCCATGTGAGTAGCCTTCTAGATCACCTCTGCCTCTCTACCCAAATAGTCTATGCTGGCTTCCTGCTAACCAAAATGGGGATGGTAGTAATGATGGTGAAAATGGTAGAGGGAGAAGTGGTAGGTGGAATGGTGGAAGTGGAAAAATGGTAGTTAGGCATAGATGGATGTGGTAGAAGTATAAATGGAGGTGGTGGAGGTGAGGATGGAGGTGATGGGCTGTACATGGAGGCCGTAGAGGTGTAGATGGAGGTAATGAGGTATAGATGGAAGTGATGAGGGCTAGATGGAGGTGGTGGAGGCAGTGGTGGTGATGGAGGATGGGGCAAGAAGGCTTCTGAATGATAAAGTTGGAGATTCTTGTTACTATTATATGGATGACACTGAATGAAGCTGACCTGCTGCAACTACAAGGGTGAAACGGGAAAGCCCTGGCATTAGAAGTCTGAAGAACCTTATTCTGTCCCCAGAGCTGTGTAGTGTTAAGATAATCACCTCACCTCTCTGGGCTCCAGTTTTCTTGAAGCTGTTTGTACTTAATACATGGTATCTTGTTAGGGGAAACTCCTCCATCTCCCTCTAAGCCCTTTACCCTTCCTATAAAGTAGTAGCTTCAGTCCTTTTGGAAGTCTTGATAAGAGTCCTTTTCACTTACGTCTCTGCCTCCTCACTCACTCTTACCTAGAGGAGGATGAGTGACTCAGGCGATCGGAAAATTTGGGAGAGTAAAATGGGTATGTGCCATGACTCAGATCCTTCTGAGAACTGCCTGCTTCAGAGCAAGTCCAGGCTGTGCTCCTCTCCTCCTCTCTTCACAGGAAACTTTCAGGGCAGATTCTCACCCTGTAGGTAGGGAGTCTTCCAGTGTTGGGTAGAAAAGTTTAATTCTGGGGGGTGGGGATTTGGGAAGTGTGATTGTGGTTGTACATCCTAAACCAAATTTTCTAATCAGCTTTACCTGTTACAAAGTTATTTTGATTTGTACCTGTGTGACTTCTGTATCTTATTTCTCATTTGATGCCAAGCATAGAGGGAAAGACTGTAAACAAGTATCATTCTCAAATTCCAGTGCTGACAAACTAATCAAAGAGCCTGCATGGAGCTGATTGGACTAAATGGTCTCTAAATTTCCTTCAAGCTCTAACATCCTGTGATTCTACATGCCTGTGTCTCTGAAGCAGAACAAATATTCGTGAAGCTGGCAGAAGTTTGAGACTCTTAGCGGAGAGCTTCCCAGTCTCTGCCTCTCTTCCCTCTTGCTTTTCAACCTGATGAAGACCTCTAGTGTCCACACATCTTCCTCTTCTCCCCCTCCACCAGCCATGCATGGCTTCATTTACTCCCATTCTGGTCTGGACCCCATGATGAATGACTTCACTCTTCCCTCAGTGATACCCACAACATCTTGTTCCTGTCCTGCCAATCTTCTGGTCTTTGTCAGCCCACCTTCTACCCTTCTACTCTTTCATTGAACTCTTTCTTCTCTGGAGAAACCCTGTCTTCAGGGAGAGAGAACAGAACCAAGACACAGAGTAGTAGAAGTGTGTGTGTGTGAGAGAGACAGACAGACAGGCTAAGGAGACCAAATGGAGAGAGAGAGAAAGACCTAGTCCAGTGGACCTATAGCCAACTCTACCCCTGCCCTTCCCCCATGGTTCAGTTTTGTGAGTGAAAAATGTTGAAAGAAGATCTGGCCATCCCATTTCTCTCCTCTTTCTTACTTCTGGGCTCTTTCACTTTACTGCCAGGGAGACTGTTTGCCCCACTGGCATTAAGCACTGAAACAAGTGCTTGAGGGTTTTGTCACTACCAGAGAGGTAACAGCTGAGACTCATGCATTGGCTTAGGAGAAAGGGAAGAGATTGGACCCAGTGGGTTCTCAGTCAGAGGTGTTTCTTCCCCCCCCCCCCCCAAGGGAACATTTGGCAATGTCTGGAGACATTTCTGGTTGTAACATAAAACTGGGATGAGAGCTCTACTGGCCTCTAGTGGGTAGAGGCCAGGGATGCTGCTAACAACCTAAAATGCACAAGACGCAACCACAACAAAGAATGAGCTGGCCCAAAATGTCAATAGTGTAAGGTTGAGAAGTCCTGGATTAGACTCTTCAGCCCCCTCCGGTTCTAGAAACCAGGATGCCTATAACCCAGGCCAAAGGAGCACTTCACACAGGCCCACATCAATCACCAGGATGCTATGAGAGAGGGAGGAGGGGCAAAGATTCTTAGTAATTTGCAGCTTTTGACGTCTGGGCTTCCTTTTCCTTTGTAGACCCAGCAGACAGGGGTGGTTATTTTATAGAGTCAGATTCCCTTCCATCTTCTGGATAAATGCTATCTGAACCCCACCTGGGTTTAGGGTATAGGTAGGTTTGACATAGGGTCGTGGCATAGGGGGTGAAGTGTCATGAAGGAAAAGCAAGCTTCCTACCCTGGTTTTGGTGGGAATAAGGAGTCATTTGGGGCCCCAGCAGGCTTACCTAGAACTTTCACCCACAAGAGGTTTTCCACAAGCTGGGCAAGCCTCATGCCAGTATGTGAGATTTTTTGCTCTCAGATTGTTTGTGCGAAGCTTTGGTGGGTGGTACAAGACTGGCTGCCCCAGATTCTTGTGCACTTTAGCTGCTTTTGAACTGTATCCAGGGTTGGGGAGGGAACAAACATACTGTGGGATGTCAATACCCAGGAAGGCAAAAAAAAAAACAAAAAGAAAAGATGAGAGATACCTTAAAGGGAAGCTGAGAAGCCTGAGGAAGCCTCAGGTTATGCAATGGATGGGTTCTCTGCCTACTTCATCTCCATCTACCCCCATTCACTGCTGTGACCTGTGGCCAGTAAAGGCACAGACCTTGGCTCACTCTGCACCAACCACACTGCACATCCTGCTGTTCCTCTAACATCCTAAGCTCATTCCCACCTGAGGACCTTTGCACTTACTGTTTCCCCAACCATCAGCTCTCTCATGTGTTCAGCTTTCTGTTCAAATGCTATCTACCCAAGAAGGTCCTCCCTGACCAGTCTGTCTAGAATACCCCTTTCTTTAACTCTGCCTTATTGGTCTATATGGAATTTCTATCCAAAACCACATTATATGTTTGTTTGTTCATTATTGTCTATCCTTTAATATGGCAGGGACTTTGACTTGTTCACTGAGGTATCCCTGACACCCATAATAGCTTATAGATGGATTGTTAGAATCCTGGCTCCACAATCTATGGGATATTGAGCAAGTTACCTACCTTTTTTCCCCTTAATTTCCTCCACTGAAAAATGGAAATATTAATTGTATCTACCTCCGTGGTTGTTATGAGAACTGACTGAATCAATATGTATATAAAATCTTAGGTCAGTGTCTGGCCCATAGCACATAATTAGTATCAACTACTAATAATTAGCACATTCCCAGGAAGTTCACAATATGTCTATTCTGAGGAGGTGGGGTGTGGTATTCCTGGTAATTTGCAGGAATGGAGACTTCGCTGTTAATTCCCTGGGAACCAAAATCCCTCAGCAGGCCAGGAACCTCTGCATCTGCTCTCTGCTGCCCTCTGAAGGTTCTGGGTGAAGACTGGCCAAAGAGGACTGTTAGGGACTCCACAGACCACTATTTCCCACAGAGAAAATAGTGGTCCCTTTTCTTAAGCAAGCCACACTCCCAAGGTGGCAAGCTTGGCCCTTGACAAAGCTGCCTTGGGAGCCATCATTCGACAAACTCAATTAGGAATCACTGAGGCCACAGTGAACTGCAGGCACCTGGGAATTTATCCCTCAGGCTCCAGGAGAGACCCAGAACAAACCCAGTTCCCCCTTCCCCCAAGCTCAACTTCCCAAGACAGAGGACAGTGATCTGTCAGCCAACCTAAGCGCCCCTGGAAAGCCGTTTCCCCAGCCAGTGCTTCATTCCCTGTTGGACTGTGTGTCACCATATGGGTCAAGTGATCTTCATGTTGCCAGCTTAAAATGAGAGGAAAAATCCCTCCTCTTGGGGCCCCTGGGGGGTAATTCATTAACAAGAATCTGGGGACACCCACACTGTCAGATGGAAAGATTTCATTTTCAGTAATGACAAAATTCCTAAAACATCTAGAAATAAACTTGCCTAGAATTGCATGTCTTATATGAGAATGTGTGATAAAATTTTGCTAAGAAACAAAATAAAGTAACATATTTCAGAATGGGAAA